ATGATCCTGGAGTCCCAGGATTGAGTCCCACATCGGGCTCCCTGCTCAGCAGGGAGTCTGCTTCTCCCTCTGACCCTCCCCCCTCTCATGCTCTCTCTATCTCATTCTCTCTCTCAAATAAATAAATAAAATCTTTAAAAAAAAAAAGTGTCTGATATCTGTCCAATGAAAAGGCCTAAAACACAATGAAAACTCAGTAAAAATGGGCACTGCTAACACCCAGATTGTGGTCTTTAAATATCATTCTCCACAAAAAAAACCCACAGGTCCTTAGAGAAATGCCTGGCTCCAGGGCCGAGGTGGAAAATGTACTTGGTAAGTCTAGAACACCTTGTGCCAAAAGGCTGATTAGTCATTTCAAAAGGACATAGGAACCAGTCTGAAGGGTTCCCATTGGCCAGAGGTGGCATCATTGACTGCAGTTTAATATATAAAATTCCATGAGTTGTCACGGTATTAAAACCGCAAAAGAGGGGTGCCTGAGTGGCTCAGTCATTAAGCATCTGCCTTCGGCTCAGGTCATGATCCCAGGTCCTGGGATTGAGCCCCGCGTCGGGCTCCCTGCTCCGCGGGAAGCCTGCTTCTCTCCCTCTCCCACTCCCCCTGCTTGTGTGCCCTCTCTCGCTGTGTCTCCCTCTGTCAAATAAATAAATAAAATCTTTAAAAAATAAATAAATGATGTAATGTATGGTGATTAACATAACATAATTAAAAATAAATAAATAAAAATAAAACAGCAAATGAACCATCATACTACTCCTGCATTATTGCACTGTTGTTGCATAGGGTGCTTCTTTGAGACTATTTTGAATGGCAATAGGGAATATACATTTGATTATGTAAATTATGTTCAAGAGTCATAATGGAAATGCAGAGTTAGAGTTCAGGGTCTCTGTCCCGGTCCGCGCCCCTTCGCCGTAGGCTTGCTGTCTGACCTCAGACTGACTCTCTGTGTGACAGGAAGTATAGCAGCGCTGAAGTCTGCCTTCTGAGGTTCCAAAGACCTGGGTTCTAATCCCAGCTCTTCCTTTTGCTTCCTCCACAGCCGTCCATCTCTCATGCTTGCCAAGCCTCAGATTCCTCCTCTCTAAAATAAGAATGGGAATGATTATATGTGCCCTGTTCGCCCTTCAAAGACCATGAGGAATGATAGCTGACCTCTAAGATGCCTTCTGCCTTGCTGGGACCATGAATTGTCAGGGTTCCCCGTCAGTTATTACATTCTTAAAGAGGCACATTTCTGAAATTCCCCTGGAGACTGGAATTCTTTGAGCTATATGTAGAAACAGAAGTGTTGCCCGGTCATTAGCCCAGGTTGGACGTGGAAGTAAACTGCTTTGTTTCTTGCAGCCATGGAATTCCATGAGCACTTACACAGCATCGGCACCAAGGAAGGTTTGAAGGAACGAAAGCTACAAAAAGCAGTGGAGAGCTTTACCTGGAATATCACCATCTTAAAGGTACGTGGCCAAGCTGGTTCTGATGCCGGTGATGCTGCATCAGCCTTTCGCAGCACGTTTCCCCCATGTGGTAGAACAGGTCTTGCCTTGTGCGCTGTCAGACAGGCCAGCGCCGTCCCAGCTGTCCCAGGAGAACTCGGCCCTCAGCAGAGCCCGCGGGCACGGTCGCTGGGCTGCGTGGCTTGGAGAGAGCACAGGGGACTCCTGGGGTTGGCACATTGTGGATTCTGACAGCAGGGAGAGGACCTTGGCTTCTCTCCTTGAAGCACTGTCAAGTTTATAAATGCCAGTTGCTGTCTGTGAAATAGGCAGTGTGATTATAGAGGGATGATTGAGAATTTAGATTCTAATTACTCAAATGTCATTTAACACTTTCAAGTATAATCACAGCCTTAATATTAATATGATCCCAGGACAAAAATAGGAAAGAATTGTGCGGGACATAATTAAAACCCATATGTAAAGGAATTGCCATTGGAAAGAAATTTTCCTTCAAGGAAGAAACTGTTTGTCTTCCTCCCTCTCTCCCTCCCTCTCCCTTCCTTCCTTCCTTCCTTCCTCAGCATGGCTATTTTTTAAATGTTTATTATTTTTTATTATAAAAGTAATACATTCTTGTTGAAACTGTCAAAATAGAAATAAGCAAAGATGAACATGGTCCCACTGTTCAGAGGCAATTACCACTGGCCTTTGGCCATACATTCTCCCTGCCTTTTTCTCTGTGCTATGTATCATGTGACATGATTTTTAAAATAATGCTATGTATGTACCTTGAAACCTTTTTGTCTCAGTGGTCTTTACTTTTCTTCTTTTCCATGTTTGGGAACTTGAATAATCATAACACAGAAACATTATTTCACTCTGGATCTTGGACAGCTAAATCTTAAAATTACTCTCTGGTATTCACCCTCCAAACTTTCTGCTCCCTTGAAGTCAAAACAGTAAAGACGTTATCACAGCTTCCTCTTTTAATTTCCTTGTTCCTCCTCAAATTAAAAGATCCATCCCTGCAGCAGACAACAGTTTTCTGATTTGATTTAATAAAAAGTCAACCTTCCAAAGCGAACCAACTTGCATTTTCTCACGTTAAACCTCTACTTGTTTTTATAATTAAAATCATTTTCTTGACTTCTTAAAACACTTCCCTTCCTTCACATGTGCTTTCTTTTGTAATCTTTCAATTTTCTGCTTAGAAGTTAACTTTGATAGTTTGCAATTCAGTAAACAGCAGATAGAAGAATTTACAAGGAAAAGGAATTTGGCTTTATAACTTGCTGACTCATTCCCACCCGGAGGTGGGGGTACACAACAAATTTCCTGCAAATCTCAGGGGAAAAGTAGCACAGTAGTTTAAGCCCTGTGACAGAACAAATGCTCATTTTGCTTTCATTTTATTATAGGCAAAACCACACTTACAGACCAAACTTTCACTTGTCAACTATCCTTGCTACTCCTTTGTGGTCTAGGAAGCAGAAGCCTGGGCATCACCTGGGAGCTTGTTCAAAATGCAGACTCCCAAGCCCCACCCCAGATCTACTGAATCAGAATCTGCATTTTTACAAGCTCCCAGGGGATTCTCATGCACATTAAAGTCTGAGACACACTTGGCTAAGAGCCACCGAAAATGGGAGCCTGGTGCACACATTAATGAAAAACAGCTGACATAAAGTAATATACCGGATTTTAGAAATAAGTAATTGAACCAAATAGCTACCCTGAGAAAACCTATTTTCTTTTGAATTATGTCCAGGAGAGAGAATTAACACCTCAGACTTATGTTCATATGGAAACTGATGTATAGGACAGGGTAAAGGATCTTTTTAGAATTTCCAGCATATTTGCTCTAGATGGTGTTTGAGTATGGTAGAAGCTGAGCAAGGAATGGGAAAGAACTGGAAAGAGCTGTGTGTCACTTTCATATAATGGAAGGACTTTTTCCACTCCTGGGTGTTTCACCAGTTTTGACTTTGTTTAGGAGAATCAATGACCCCTTGGACGTGAATTTGGGTCTGAGTTGAGCTACTAGTCTTTTCCTGGCAGGAGGGAATCGGATCATTTGGATTCCTATGACTACTTGTTCTTTGTGGTTAGTTTGGAGAGCGCGTGGTGGGCAATAGGCAGCCGTGCCCTCATGGTAGACACAGAGGCTAGGGGAAGGTTTCAGATGACACTGGGTATGGAGAGAAAAGGGGAAGGAGGACAGGGAGACATGTCCAGGGAGCCCTGGAAATGTGAGGCCAGACAGGAATTTCCTACGGTGCTTAGAAATGCAGTTTCCTGAGCCCCACCTCAGAATCTGGGTCAGAATCTCTAGGGGTAGAACGTAGGAATCTGCTTGTTTAACAAGTTCCTTGGGGGATTCTGAGGTACCCTAAAAAGTGGAGTACCTCTGCCCTAGAATGAAATCAAAAGTATGTTCCTCCACTCATTTGAACAGTAAAGGAGGCAGGGTGACCAGTCATCCCGGGACATAGGGCTTCCCATGTAAAAATCAGGACAGTCCTGGGCAAACCAGGAGATGATTGGTCACCCGGCATGGAGGCCTCCTGCCATAAATTCCTTTCATCTATGGACATGCTTCCCAGTTTTTATGAATTTTTGCTTGCTTTGTTTAGTTTTGCAATTTTAAGAATTGCTTTAAAATACAGAAATGAACAAAGAAGAAATGTCAGCTGTGAATACCACATCCAGAGTTATCTACAGTTGATACGTTGGCATATTTACTTCCAGACATTTTTTATTTTGAATAAAAATCATTCGTTTGTTTTTGTAAATGCATCTTCATTATAAGGAGACTTTTTTAATGTAGAAAAGATTTAAAAGTTTTAAAATGACTTCAAATCCTCTGAGAAATAACTCTTATTAAATGTACGTGACCTTATTTTAGGAACCATTTTAGATTTATATGGATGGATGGATGGATGGATAGATGGACGGATGGATGGATGGATGGATGGATGGATGGAGATACATTTTATTGATTCTGAATCATACTTCTTTTTTCTATTTTTCACATCTTTGAAATTGGCCTGTGTCTTATAGTCCATGGCATCTGTGCACTATACCGTAGTTCAGTTGGCAGTGATTTTCTTTCTTGATGGTACCTCTGACAAGAACTGGTGTCTCAGATATTATGAAATAAGGTACGCCAGTAGACAGAATCCTACTAGAATTACTCTTCTTAATTTTTTTAAAAAGTACTAAATTTTCCTTAATTTAACAGAAGAAAAGTAAACCATAAAGAAGCTAAAAGAATCTCTTTACAGGAAATAAAGATCTCTCACTGTAAAGATTGTTCAGCAGTTCATTTAGCTTCTTTCATTTAGCATAATGCTTTGGATATTCATCCAGTTTGAGGTGTGTTTCAGCAATCCGTTCCTTTTTATTGATGAACAGTATTCTGTTTGCTGGCTGTGTGACTCTTTGTTCATACACTCCCTAGTTGCTGGGCGTTTGGGTTGTTTTCAGTTTCTAGCTATTGTGAATAAAGCTGTAGCGAGCATTCCCATGCAGGTCTTTGTGTAGACATGTGCTTATTTTCTTGGATAAATACCTATGCGTGCAGTTGCTGGGTCATATGGTTAAGTGTATGTCAGACTTTATAAGAAATTGCCAAACCACTTTCCAAACTGGCCCATGTAGTATTCCCCCCAGCAGTGTTAGGAGAGTTCTGATTATTCCACATCCATGACAACACTTGCTATTGTCAGTTTAGTCAGTCTAGGAAAGGTATAGAGGTAGAGCATCTTTTTGTTTGGATTTTTTTTTTTTTTTTTAGCTTTTTAAACGAATTATGATGGGCCTTAGTCTGGTTTTCTTCATGTTTCTTCTGCTTAGGGTTTATTGAGATTCTTCTACATGTGGATTTATAGTTTCCATCAAATTTGGAAAATTTTTAGCCAGTTTTCTTTAAATCTTTTTTCCTGTCTTACTGTTTCTCTCCTTCTTCTGTAACTCCATTTATACATATATACTGCTTGATATCTTCCCAGAAGTGACAGACCCACTACTCATTTCTTTTTAGGTCTTTCTTTCTTTTTTAATAGTTTCTGTTAGTTCTGCATCTTCAAGCAATATTGCTGTATCACCTGAACTGTCTACTCTGCCATTAATCCTGCCCAGCTTCCCATTTCTCTTGTCTTCATGTTCACCATAGCCTTTATCTTCTTGGACGTAGATATTTACAGTGATTGTTTAAGAGGCCCATCACTCTGCCCCGCACATCCTAGCCACCTTGCCTCCCTGAACTCTGAACTCTGTCTCCTCAGCTCAGTGGGGCTGCTGGGCTCTGCTTGGGCTCTGCTTGGGCTCTGCCTTCCCACACCACAGCCTGGAACCCCTGCAAATAGGGAGCCAGACCCCTGTTTGCATCTCTTCCCTCGGGGCTCACTGTGTTGTTGCACTGTCTGAACATCATTATTTAATATATCATGTCCAGTCTTCTCCTTGTGTGTCAGCCCTGTTCTTCACTTGTCTTGTGTCACTTTTTCATCCCACCCTCTGTCCCATCATCTGTTCTGCTCCATCAAACAGAAGTAAAAGAGAAGGACACTCAGTTTGTATCTTTCCAATTTGACTGGCTCTTAGAATTCTCAGGATTTTTATGAACTGCCACTGTGAATTCTGTGAGTTTTAGAAGTTTATTAAATTGTGTCATACCCTTTTGTTTGTTTGCTGCTTGTGTTTGTGTGTATGTGTGTGTGTTTGCCAATTTTACTTTTTGCTCATTTCATCGGGAATGTGGGAAGGAAATTCTGTTAATACATCTTCCACCCACCAGCTTAATCAAGATGTTCCTCTCCCTTTATTTTCCATTTGCTAAAATACTGAACTGGTGATCATTTTTATTATTTCTATTTATTACCATTCCCAAAATGGTAGAATCTCATGGTAGAAGAGCCCTGTTTTAATTGGTCCCTTTTGGTGATAAGAAGCCGAACTCCTGCAGGCTAGCTTGCAGAGGAGAGGTGAGCGATGCTTGCTCATGGAAGGGATCATGA